ACATGTGAGCCTACACCTATCTCTGTCGGTATCTCTTGGTCTTCTTTTTCCTACGAATTCCTACTACCCCTCGTTTCAGCTCACGATTCAATCTTTCACCTACCTTCCACATGATGATTTTATAAACAATTCTTCATACAGAAACTCATTTTACACAGCCATTGCTTTTTAACGAGAATATATAAGGGATTCAAGTTCAACCTAATATGTTTGTTCTTTGTTTTGACAACGTCGATTCCACGTTGATTATCCCTATACTGACTCGGACAGCTCCATCTTAATCGACGAGGATCGACAACACATCACCGCCCCATTTCCAGGTCAACAGTTTTGCTGGCAGATTTACTCACCATTGAATTCTTGGTTTCATGTTTCTTGGTTTCATGTTCTACACTTTTTCCCGAGAGCTTGCTTTGAGTTGTTTACTGGGTTGGTGAGCTCTGTGTAGGACGCAGAACCAGAACAAATCAGTGGAACAAGTGGATCAATGCTTGTGCGTTTGATTGAGGCACTTTGACGTGCGGGGATGGGTTGAGGTTCATATTGTTGCTGTGAGTCGGAATTTCGATGCCTTCTCCCTACCTTGACCTACATTAGCCTACATTTCATCTATCTTCGTTGATTGGCAACCCGACTTACTACTACGTATCGCGTACCTGTCTCGATCCTGCTCTACCCCACTGTAATGGGTATCATCATCGTCCTTCATTGCGCATCATCGTTCTCCACTTCATTCCTTCACTATGCAACAGGGATATGCGAAATTCGGGAAAGGTAGGAAGATAGCGCGGCGAGATATTCTACGGTAGCAATGAACCGTGAACAAGGGAAAAACCAAACAAGACAAAAACTAACGACCAATGACCAGATTCCATTAGGTGTTGGTCCGTAGACCCGATATGTGCGAGAGAGAGGTGTTTGTGTGTGCGGGTGAACCAAGCACTTTATGATATTTCGTAGTAAAGTTTAAAGGTGAATCCGAGCGTGTGTTGTCCAACTGAATGGTCTCTCTTGGCGTATCCAGGGTGGAGGCATTTATATGTATGCTAGGAAAAGGACAGAATCTGACCGCAGGGCTCACAAAGTGTTCTTCATGATACCCTATGCTCAAAGTTAAATCAACAAAGGACTATGACTAGAGCTATTCACTTGCTATATACTGTCAGACAATAGCGTGTGTTGTCGCGAGAATTGTCAGTACTTCAGGTATAGCTCGATCCCCTCCCACAATTCTCTCCGTCTTTGCATCTACTGATATCAAGTTCCCAATCGAGTCTGATATTGTCGAGCTCAGCATCGCATTAGAATATTGCGATTCCTCCAGCATTGTAGTACAAGCAGACAGTATACGCGGCAGCTTTAATCTGGGTCCCCAAATACTCTCTTCATATACGTCTACCAGACGTATGTGTTCGAAAACCACATTAGAAGATTTAAGCTTGCATAAGGAATCTTGGAGTTTACCGGTACATCGTAATACAAAGTCAGCGATATGTTCCGCGGTGAGGAACGTCGCTTGACCGAGATAAAAAGAGCGTAAGGAGGGGAGGCAAGGAATGCCTGCCCAATGAGCATCAAGGCTGATGATTGGATTGGGGAAAGCAATGTTGGTGAGACGTAGATGTGTAAGACGGCTGTAGGTGGAAAGTGCTGTGAATAAGGGAAACACCGCGGGAGACACGATCTGTGATGCGTCTTGAGTTGAATGAAGGTACGAAAAACAGCTTTAGAACTGACCGCAGTAGAAAAATGGTGCGGAGGATCAGGCCCTGTCCATATGAAGTTTCTTGCACTATAATTTGGTATGATAAGTATTTAAGCTTAAATCCTGGCATTTACTATCCACAGAATGGACTCACTTTGCGTCGGACAAGGAAGCATTGATTATTCGGTGGTCATCATGCGTAAGGGAGTTCAACCTGAGTCTCAATGTATCCAATACCAACCGTCCATTCTCGTCCTTCTTGCATCGAGCATGAGATAAGATTTCGGTCAGGACAGCGTATAATCCTTCGAATATCCCAGAAGATGCACCGCCTGCGATGTCGAGCATGAGTGTCTGCGGCTCGCAGACCAGAGATAGAGTTCCTTTAGAAAGAAGACTTGCGAATTGTGAAAGTTGAGAAGACGAGTAAAAGCATAAATCTTGGTGTAGTATTCTCTGAGCGATAGACTGGAACTGGGAAGACGTGCATAATATATTCGTTGGTTTTGTCGCTGCATCCTGTAGTATAATGGCAAGTATGTCGGTGAGGATCTCAATCGGCAAAGTGTCCATTATTGCGGAGAAAGGCTTTGAATCGGTACTTAGACGCCGGTTGTTTACTCTCTACATCCATCCAGCACCAAATACGAAGAAATAATCATAATAATTCTAATGACAGCATGGACTTCACCGATTGGCGTTCCAACGGCAGACGAGAAAGAGACTGTGTCTACTTTGCTTGCTATGATTGGCGGAACCGAGGCCCAAACAGCTGAAGTGCTCGAAGTATATCGAAGGAATGGGGGAAATGCAGACAAGGCAGCTGAAGTTCTACTTTCTGGTGGCCTGGGAGCTTCATCCTCTGGCTGGGGAGATGATATCGGGAGTAGCTCGACGTCGATGGCGCTGGTACCAATAATCAAAGCACCTAGAGCGCGACCGAATACACCAGAAGATATCCCAGATCTTGTCGATTTGACAAAAGATAATAATATGGCTGTTGATGATGAAGACTTTGAGATGAAACGGGCCATAGAGATGAGCATGGAAAGCGCACGGGAAGATCTGGGAGGAGAACTTGGAGGGGATATAGCGACGAATGACCAGGAGGTGGTAATGGAGAACGATCAAGAGGAAGTTGAGGACCTGGAAGAGCTTATTCGTAAGGATGGAAGGTGAGATCTCAATGGAAATTTACTAGGTCGCTTAATTCCCGCTTTATTAGACCGATATCCCTACGTTCTCCTACACCAGAGACCATTTATGCAGCATTACTCCTCCAAGCGCTATTTCATGTTCCACAGGTTCGTAACCGGCTTACGACCGTATCTATTCCCGAAGAATCCTCGGTCTCAGAAGACAGCGACCCAGTAATTCTTTCTCGCATTATCGAGCTTTTTGGAAATCTCGATCTAGCTAATCTAGCTAGGCTCGAATGCGATGGTGTTTGTAAGGCCTTGGACGTCTTGCCGGCAACAGCTACTAGTGGGGTAACAGAGTCGACGAAAAATCTGTATGAAAAGCTTACGGGTATCTTTGAAGCTGCCATAGCTTCTCAACCAGTTCCCGCCCCATTACTCACCTTCACGTCGGCGCAGGTGGACATTGAACCTGGGCAAAGCGAAGAGTTTAAGACGAGTCAGTTATCGAATCACACGTACGTATCGCTAGATATTTCTGCCTCTAGCGAGGGTGCACTCGGGGAGCCCTTTAGAAATGACCTTTTGACGCGTCTCGCTCGAGATCTGTCTAAGCCTGTTCTAGATATACAAGGTGGACCAAGTGGGTCGACCAATACTGTCATTACCACTCCGTCTGAGGTAGTGGCGTTCGTCCTTACTTCATCAAACCCTTCGTTCTCAACCGCGTCATTCGCGGTACCTCTGTATAACTCGTCTTCCTCGATGCCTTCATCGTCACGATTTTCATATCCATCTTCACTGTATATCGACCCTTTCTTATCTTTGAACCTCCCACTCGTTCATTCAAAACGCGTGGAGAGAGAGGGGCTAGCAAAAGAAGTGAGGGAGTGTGAGGAACTCAGAGGAAAGTTGATTGGAAAGGTTAGTCAGTGTCAAGTTATGATCTGTATGTTTCTTTGTGTTCAGGTGTTCGTTCCTTCACAACAGGAATATGTTCCCTCGTCGTCTACGTTTACAGCGGCGCCTGCTCCCGCTACAGATTCCAGCGATAACAACTCTCAAGACCAAGGCGTTCTTCCCTCCCTCCGTGCTGCATTGTACTATTATGAAAATGTTGCAAATCGTTCTGAGGGTGACGATGGCACGGAAGTAGGAAAGGAAGAAAGGGCAAGGGCGGTTGAGGAAACGGAGCGGAGCCTCAGAGCAACGTTAGAGGGAATTGAGAAGGCGCTAAAAGGTCAGTCAAGCAGTATCGTTTGGTACTCTCGCGGATGCGGATATTTATCATTCTCCTATAATCGCAGATCTCGACACCAAGATAAGTGGCGCGAAAACTCAAATGAAGACTCTATTTGAAAGTGAAGAATTGAAGAAGTACCAGGTGAGTATCGCTCGCTTTCATCGTTGAATTTTCTCTTTTTCTTGTGCCTTTTTCAGTATACCCTTCGTGCAGTCCTCATGCAGCCTGCCTCGTCTCCGAATTCCACAACTCAACCCAATACAAATCAAACACAATCTAAATTATTGAAATCAGACAAAGGGCCATTCGTATACGTTCGGGATATTCGAGATGACTTGGTTATATCAAAGCCAGACGCAAATGAAAAACCCTCTAAGACAAAAGCGCGGTGGTGGAAATCACCTGCGTCTGCGGCTGCAGGAGGTTATGTAGAAGAGGTAACAGATGTAGATCATTATAAGTGTGATTCTAACTACTTGTTGCAGGTGTCTGAGGAAATTGTTCTCTCCATGGCTGCGACGTCGGGGCCGGGGCCAGCCATCTTCGCGGAATCAATCCCGTACATGCTGATATACAGCAAGAGCCTTTCATCGACATTTACCACTTCCACCATCACCGGTCCCGCCCCGGCTACTTCGTCTCCGCAATGGCCTCCGTCTATTGTTTCCTCTGTAGAACTGAACAACAGCAAATTCCTGGAGGTGGTAGAGGAGTGGCGGACGTCGAACATGCGGGGAGGGCAGGGCGAACAGGGAACACAACGTGGGAGGGAGACAGTAGGTAGAAGGAATCCGGGGGAAAATTTGGGAAGGGACGTCTCCATGGTGGATGTTACGCGGTGAGATTAGATAAATCGCGTATGACTGGACGAAACGTGGAAATTTTACAAAAAAAAAATGATGTACCAAGCTGCTTCCAATGCGGGGAATCGAACCCCGGGCTGCTGTGAATCCAATTTGAAAGACAGCAATGTTAGCCACTACACCACATTGGACATAAATACTCTGGTCAACCGTAAGATCAGATTGAAGAATAGAGACTTCAAGATTAGCCATTTCAGAAAGAAACCACCGTCATCTGGCCATGTTCGCAGTAACCAAATCAATATTCCCTGTAGCCCTGGTGCGTCGCTCCTACAATGCGAGGCTCATCAGCGACAACACCTTCTCTCGCCCATCTCCTCCACAGCTTCCTCGAGACATGCAGCTGGAATTCGAGGAGCTCCAAAAACAATCTGAAAACCTTCCAAACCCTGCATTGTCGACCGCTCCTTCCCCGCCAACCAATGTAAGAACCGAAGGAGATATCAACGTCAATCCGGTAACTGGTGAACAGGGAGGGCCACAGACTGAACCGGTTGGACGATGGGGAGAGGAGAGCGAAGGAGATTGGAGTTTCAAGGGGAGAGTGTCAGATTTCTAGTGCGATATTATCTTGGGGTACGTATGCATAATGCGTTCAGTCTGATTGAAATGACTCAATTGACCATGTCCCAACGGTCTTTCACAATCAGAATACTGTTACATCTATACCTCTTGAGCGTACGAGGGACAGCTCTAACACCCCTACTCCGCTTTATCTACGCTGTGCTCAAGGTTTTACACAGTTGTATTGCCATTACAGACTCCAGCTGCTTCTGAATATCATAGAGTTGCAACACAAATCGAAGAGTATACAATGTTACAATACTCCAAGCCTCCACTTCATGTAACCGGAAACGGATTAGTAGAATCGATATCTTGACTATGTTGTAATCCTCTTTCCCCTTGAGATTGTTAAGCGGAAGGAACCTTCCCGATCCTAGCATTATTGTAATTTTCCAAAAACCACTGGACTGATTCATTCAACGCTGAAAGAACCACATAAATGGCGGATCCATCAAGACAAATGAAGATTGTGCGCATACCCTCTTCAAACGGTGTAAACTTGAAATCCCCAATGAGCGATAACAGTTTCTTATTGGATGCAGGTTTTCGGTATTGGCCATCGGCACGACTGGTATCGAACTGAGGAAGGTTAGGAATAATCAACGAAAATGAAACCTAGTGAAACTTACGGTATACGAACCCTGGAATCCGACAGCTTTTACAATGGCGTCCGCCACTTCCTTGATGCTAACTTCCTCATCTTCGCCGACTATACGTGATAGAATAATATGAGGGATAAGGTCTTCTCTAATACAAGAGCAACACCTGCCTGAGAGAATCACAGGCTCGACATCGTCGTATTCTCGAAGTTGCCAAATGAACAATTTGGCCAAGTCGCGAGAGTATATGAATTGACGAAGAGGTTTGCCGGTTCCAGACACGACAAAGGGAGTTTTGTTCTCTACATCATCCAATCCGAATCAATGACTGGGTGATCAACGAAATATGGAACACACTCTTGGCAAGGTAGCATTTGTGGATAAGTCCAGGAATGACGTGTGAGTCTTCGAGATCGCTACGATCGTCAGATATCAGAGCTCGAGTAATTCGAGAGGTGGATGTTAGTACTAGTTGTCATGAGGCCCAAACACGTTCGTAGGAATTGCCGAGGTAAAATTACAGCCGAACTCCTCCTTGTAGGCGCTAGAGTTGATGAGTATTGGTATAACGTTATGTCCAGAAGAATGTGGACATACTGGTTCTGAACATCAACCATCCGTTTAGCGTGGGCGTAACCAAAGTTACTCTCGTGCGGTGGGCCATTGTGTATGTTGAGCTCGGTCAGAGGATACTCGACCTTGTCAGGAAAGACACAAGTAGATAGACAAGAGACGAGCTTCTGAGTCTTGTGCTCGTACGAGGCGTGTAGGACGTTATCATTGATGAGGATATTTTCCCGAAGGAAAGTCAACTGCGAGGACGATAACTCGATATAGGGATAGCTTTGATGTAGGAAAGACGAACTTTGTATTTCATATTCTTGAAGAGACCACCGACTGAAGGCATTATTGTGAGTAATAGAATCTGACGATATACATGAAGAACTGCGCACCGAGTGCAGCCAAGTGAATGACATGAGTAGGCTGGTATTTCTCGTATAATTTACGCGTCTGAGCAGGATCTCTACACAAAGCAAAGATTCCTCAATTTTGGATTTCATTGATCAAGACTGCAAGTACCTTAGATCTGCCTCGGATGAGCTAGCAAAAATCCATTTCTCGTTGGGTCGTTTACCGAAACGAGATCCAGCTGGTTCGTTTTCAATAACATATTCTATGGCTTTGCCAACAAGACCTGTTCCTCCAGTGACAAGAATGACTGTAGACATAATATTCCGACGTGAATAATGATGATGGATGGCAGAGAAAAACTTTGAAGCTTCGGCACGTGTACCCGAGGGAGTGATCTGACAGTGATTCCGTAACTTGTACTTACCCCACTTACTTTCCATTTCCTTCTGAATTCCTCCCTCCATGATCCAGATACAAGAAGTAGCAAGGCAGGTCTATGATCTCGCTGCCTCCAATGATCCTCTTGCGCCTTTGATCAAGGAGGCTTTAGATGTTATCGACGAAGGACTCGATGCGTGCGGGTGAGTAGTGAATATAAGTACAGTTATTGCACTTTTATATGACCACAGATTTGTTCAGGGAGAATCGAGTCTCAATCAGTTTCAATGGAGGTAAAGACTGTGTGTATTTGATTTCCTTCGTTTTCCGAAAGATAATGCCAAGTGCTAATCGCTCCCGCTGCAAGGCACTGTCCTACTGCATCTTTTCGCTGGCGCATTAGGGAAACGACGTTCAGCCTCAGAATATACATCGCCGATACCAGCGATTTATATTGCAGTGCCTTCTTCATTTCCTGTTTTGGAAGATTTCATCGAAGACGCAGTCAAAGACTACAACCTCGACCTATTCTATTGCAGGCCACCCCAGGAGGATTCAATCGAAACTGTGGTAACTCCTGCTGCTAGTTCAATTACCAAAGGGCGTGACTACATCCACCCATTACCAGGTCCTCGGAGTGTTGGAAAAGCCAAGGGGGGAGAAGGCATGCGTCAGGCTTTGGAGATGTACAAGGCCCAGCTCCCACATATCAACGGTATTCTAATCGGTACCAGACGTACCGATCCACACGGTGGTATACACAATCTCACATTAGCTGTGACACCCGCCCTGACCACTCTTTCCACAGATAGAATATCGTTTCGATGTCCTACCGATGAGGGATGGCCCAGATTCGACCGCATAAACCCAATCATGAACTGGTCTTATGCTGACGTATGGACGTTCCTACGCCAGTTGAACATTCCATACTGTAAGCTTTATGACCAAGGGTAAGCTTCGACCTGTCATTTTTGGAACCTGTACTCACAGAATGACGCCTCCATTCAAATTAGCTACACATCTCTCGGATCCACTTATAACACCTTTCCAAATCCTGCTTTACTTGTAACATCAAAGCAATCAGCCAATTTAGACGTACAACCGCTTCCATCTGCGTCTTCGATAATCTCGCCAACGACTGCACTCGCTACTGTGATGTCCAATACGCATGCAACTCCCCAGCTAGATGAACTGTCTCCGACAGAGGTTCTTTCAACTTACATCTCTTCGACGCATACAAAGTCTGGTCAAGAGCTCAATAGGACGATTTATCAATCATCCGAGTTTTCCTCACCCTCACAATACCATCCGGCTTACATGTTAAAGGAGGATCACTTAGAGCGTGCTGGACGGGGACTAAACATTGCCAGTGTGACACTGTAGTATGTAGGTTGTTAAATTTCTGATTTCTTGACTACGCACTTGTTGTAAGTACTACATTCTCAATTGAGAAGCACTGTACATAGACTGCGTGTAAACAATTTTGCTTTAGCCAGGAAAGAGAACGATGAGGCATGCATCATAAACATAGTTGATAGCGGCACGATACCATAGACAGAAGGAAGATACAACAATTGACTGATCAAGTAATTTACTCTTCTTCCTCCTCATCACCGCCCTCTTCTTTCTTGGCGGCAGCAGCGGCACGCTTGCGCTTAACACGTCCAGGGCGACCTCCTCCATATGGAGAAGTAAGGGCAAAGTCAATGTGTTTTTGGGAGTCAAGACGAACGACGAAGGAGGGGACGTTGACAATTTGCTTTCCAACGCTAAAAACACATCAATTCCAGAATCGATCGACCTTTGATGAAAGGGGACACGCACCGGATGTGACGTTGCCTTATGAGCACGCGGGCGTGGTGAATAGATTTAGCGAGACCGCTCTTGAAGACTTGTGTCTGCAGACGCCTCTCCAAGAAATCCTCGACCTTCAGGGCCAACACGTAATCAAGACGCATACGAGTTTCGTCGAGCACACCAATTCGGACCAGACGACGGATTAAAGCGTTACCCTCGAACAGTCGCTTGGGGTCTTTGGGGTCAAGCTTGAGCAGTTCACGAGCTGCGCGACGAATCTTGGATAGAATGAGACCGATACGCCAGATTTCACGCTTGTTGCGGAGACCGTACTCGCCGGCGAGCTGGGAATTTGAAATAAATTGAGGGTGGTTTTCCATCTATGAGATTGCGAGACACACCTTCAGCTCAGCATCAAGACGAGCGGATTCAAAAGGTCGACGAGGAACTTTGTAACTGTATGATACAAGTTATAATGGGGCAAGGCATTATTAGCACAGTTGCAACCCTCCACAAAAGTGGATCTTGAAGATATTGGAACAATCCTTACGTTTTGCTGTGGTTCCGTGGAGCCCTGCAAAGCGCACATTAACATCGTACAATTTCTAGGTATAGACCGACATCAAATACCTAGGCATTTTTGTCTTGAGGAGAGTAAGGACGACGGGAAACGGGTGTCAAAAGTTGGGTTGAGAGTGATGGGACAGAGTGGCTGTGCAGCTGTACAGTACCATTCCCACGCATCTTGGTCCTCTGTGTGCGTTGCCGAGTGTCGCCGGTTTCGTTTTCAAGCCTTTTCGTCGACGGTAGGCAAGATCTTGCTCGTTGTCACTATCAACTAGTCTCAATTACCTTCCAGCCCTCAAAATGCCTCACTCATT